ATTGAAAACCATCGATGGTATATTGTTCGTCAAATACATACTTTGCTATCTGAGGTCACTGATACCAGGTCAGGTCACAGCGAGGTCAGGTCACCGGGGGTCACAATATGAATGTGTCGTGTGATACATGTTTTATGGTCCATTTTACATGACAAATGCGATTATGTGGGTTAAGCAGCCTTTGGGGCCAGCCTAGGTCACGTTTTGGTGAAGGTCAGGTCAAGGTCAGGTCAAATTAGGTCAAATTTCAAAGTTGATATTTTTGCATAAAATGGGTATCCATTCGATGCAGCTCTTCACGGGGAGTCTAATGGTGGTCTTTGTTTTGCTCTACGAGTTCTAGAATTGCCAAAAATTGAGTTTGAACATTTGACGTCATCATTTTTGAACAGTTTTTTCGCTATAACTTGGCCAAAAAACGAGGTATCGATCTGAAATTGGGTATGTAGATAGAAGACGGTAGGTACTATCACATATATTCCGGTTTTTTCGAAACTCAAAAAACTTTTTGGATTTTTCGGCTAATATATCCAAAAAAATGCTTTTTTGATTTTGGGGATCAAAACTCAAAAATTTCAAAAATCCGAGATAGCAGTTTTGTAGCCCTTTCAATTCTACACCTTTTATGTGTTGATCATTTTTCTGTATCTTCAAAGCTGTAGGCCTGACAGGTCTTCTCGCGAAGGTCTTTTTTCGGTCGAAAATGACAGAACATGACGTCATTCTGACGTCATTTGTGGCCAACCTATCACAGCCTCTGGAAAATTTTTGGTCACAATGTGTAAAATTGATGCCCGGAGGGGTCCTGAAAGTTTGGTGGCGATATCTCCAGCCGTTTAGGAGATATTGACCGAAAAGGACAGGGGGGGGGCCGTTTCGGCCCCCCCCTACGGGGCGCGGGTTTAAAGGAATTAAGACGTAACAAAAAAAGGTTATACGTGGTTCTGTTTTGTCTATCAAATGGCTATCTCGGTTTTTTGAAAATGTTGGATTTTTGCCCATTTTTTTCTTCAAAAAACTTACTTTTTTGGGAAAATAATTATAAATTCCAAAATTTTGAGTGAATAAAAAAAAACGGAATATATGTCAGAGAAGTGGTCTATGTGCACCTAAATACCAATTTTTAGAAGAATCGGTTCAAAAATGTGGGAGTTATTTAAAATTTTATGAAGTCACTACAAACAAAACTTTTGAGAAAAAAAAAATTGGAAGTTCTAGACCTCGTACGGAAACAAAAACAGCACCATTCGATTCGCCTTTTTTGCAAAGAAATAAGCTGCCACTAAACACAAGTCAATTGTCTAGGTGCTGGTAATACAACTATCGTCTTTCAGGTTCTCTGCCAGCATTGGCAGCACCATCACCAGCACCGCCGGCCTCAGGACCAAGCCCACCACCAGCGGGCGTGAGTACACCAGCGGAATCTGCTTATTGTTTTTTGTTTTACCAATTGACCGGTTATCGTGTCCCGTTCCCGTGTACCTTTTCCGTGTCCCGTTTCAGTTTTGTGCATTATCAAGTCCACCTTACGTTTATTCTAACCCTCGCCGGACCTATTGGTTTTCTACATACGCGCCGGCCGTGGGGGGGGTGGGGGGCGGGTACGACCCGCCCTCGCCGTTTCGCCCCTGGTGGAGCTAGCGTGTCGCGGAAAAAACGAGCGTGTGCGCCGTTACGAGACGCAGAGATTGGTACCCGATTTTAAGGTCCTAGGTCAATCGGTGACCTCTGAGGTCAGGTCAAGTGCCCCAACGTACGGTTCAGTTTTTGGTGAATAACTTCGCAAAAACGGCCGCAGAGCGCCAATTTTGGCAGCATCTTGTTTGCCTCGCTCAGGCGCGTCGATTGATATACTTTTTGTCCGGGTCAGGTCAACTTGGGGTGTTGACCTCAGGTCAAGGTCAGGTCAGCACCCTCAGGTCACGAAGTTGGTCAAAAGAGGTCACGTCGCATATCATTCGAATCGGTATGTCTTCCTGAATCCATTGGTTGCTTTCCCGACTCGCTAGCTCAATTTGATCAAGAGTTATTGACGAAAAACTAATATGACCTTGATGACGTCATAAACGACGTCACGTTAGGTCAACATTGCAAAAGTGACGCATCTAACCTTGCAAGGAGTGCATCAAATCACGATTCTGTGTGCTTGAGATAGTTAGAGATCGTTCCCGGCGCCAGAATAGCAGATTTCATTTTTCCCCATTGACTTATAAATTATAAGTCATTTTCGTCATTTTCATGACCTCACCATTATAAGTTATAATGGTGAGGTCACGAAAATGACCTGACCTCATATGACCTTTAGGAAAAATCCGAGATATACAAGTTGTGAGACTTACCTATAATGGATACTAGATCCTGCAAGTTTCATTTCCCTGTGACATTTCCTCTGGCAGTGAGGGCGTTGCGAAGTTGCGACATATGAAGACCGTGCATAGGTTCACTTATGACGTCATAGGTCAGTGACCTGACCTGACCCAAAAATGCGGTTGGTGTCAAAAGATCCGGCTTGAATCAAAGGTCAGGTATGCCAAGTTTCAGCTCTCTATCGCCAGCGTGCTCGGAGCTATCGCGAAAAAAAAACCCTATGGGGGGGGGGCGGCACCCGCCCCCCCCCCCCCTCGGCCGGCGAGGGCTAAATAATGTTGACTACATGAATATAAAAACACCATACATAAATCATCTGGAATGACCATCTGTCCATTTACTGCACTGGCAGGTTGACGGAGGCGGGTGTGCGGCTCTGGCGCAGCTGAGCCGTCGACCACCGGAGCCAATCCGGCAGTCCGGCATTTCAGCTGCCGCACACTCGCCCGTCACAGCATGAGAGGCCTCCCCGAGACAGGTTAGTCTGGGGGACTTTTTTTTTGAAGGGGGAGAGGATTTGATGCTCCGGAATTTATTTTGTAACTATACCTACTTCATAACAAGCAAGCTATTGATCATACCATTTCTCAATCATATCCACCAAATTATAGATCTCTAATGAAAACATTTATTTTAGCTATCTCATTTCAGGTGCAGCTGAGAAGGTGAAAGACACCACACCGCTCCTCGGGTGGTAAGAGTCAAATATGAAATTGGAGAACGATTGAAGAGTTTTGTGATAGCACAAATCGAGTTTTACTTCATTTTGAGGCAATAATTTCATCGAATTACTTTTAGCATAACGTTTCAGTTTGGCATATGCCTTATTCTTCTGCGTATCGAGTAGTGATATCAATTACGGAAAATCGGAATACCGATACCAAACCAAATACCAACCAAAACCACGGGAAAATACCGAAAACAAACCAACTTGGGAAATGAGGGAAATACCAACTTTTTCCGATTTCTTAGCCTCTTATACATTAGTGAAGGTTTATGATACAAACAAAATACCAAACACATTACGATTGAAATACCAAATACCAAGTTGGTATCGGTTTGGTATCGGTATACCAAAAAGTTGGTATGTGATTTATATCTCTAGTATCGAGTATCCAGTCGTATATAGAATATCGAGGAGAATATCGAGTAGACGTGCTGTAGAAAATTGATTCATAAAATACATTTGTAAGAAGTGACGAATTACAATGCTCTAACGTATGCGATTTTTTGCACCTAAATAAGCTGCCACTGAACACAAATCAATTATCTAGGTTCTGGTAATACATCTACCGTCTTTCAGGTCCCCTGCCAGCATTGGCAGCACCACCACCAGCACCGCCGGCCTCAGGACCAAGCTCACCACCAGCGGGCGTGAGTTCACCAGCGGAATCTGCTTATTGATTTTACCAATTGTCCGGTTATCGTGTCCCGTTTTCGTGTCCAGTTCCCTTGTTTCGCTTCCGTGTCCTGTTTCCCGTGTCCCGTTTCAGTTTTGTTCCTTATCAAGTCCACCTTACGTTCATTCTAAGTAATTGTGACTAGTCATGAAACTAGGAACATCATACATAAATTAGCTTGAATAATATTTTGTCCATTTACTGTACCGGCAGGTTGACGGAGGCGGGTGTGCGGCTCTGGCGCAGCTGAGCCGTCGACCGCCGGAGCCAATCCGGCAGTCCGGCATTTCAGCTGCCGCACACTCGCCCGTCACAGCATCAGAGGCCTCCCGAGACAGGTTAGTCTGGGGGATACTTCTTGTGTGATGCATATTTGTGATTCAACCTTTGTAGTTGTACTTCATGGGAGGTGAATATATGTTACTGAACGGCTCTGGGAAAGAAAAATGGAAACCGAGGTCTTTAAAAAATTGTAGGCACGAGGCGTAGCCGAGTGCCGGAGATTTTTTTGAAGACCGAGGTTTCCATTTTTCTTCCCAGAGCAAGTTCAGTAAGATATTTCCCATACGTCGTTTAATATCTATTCAGAAACTCACAATTTAATTATTGAAATCACCTTTTTAAAGATTTTTATCAAAAAATCACCAGAACTGTAGGTCATCAACCCGTGCCGGAAAACAGTGCAGGAAAGATCACGTGCAGATGTTTCCCGCACGGCTAGGATAATGCTAAAGGGATATCTCGGCGTATGGGAATGGTTTTTTTTCATCATTTACCGGTTAGACCTTTGTATTGTCTCTATTTATTTTTGATGGCGGCCCTCAATTTCAGCTTCCCGTTTCCGACCGGCTGAGGCGGGTGAGCGGCGGCGGCGGCGCAGCTGAGACGGTGAAATACAACACACCGCTCTGGTGGTCAGAGACCAATGTGACGCTCTGTTCAGTCGTTTGTGGCGCAGTTTGACGGTTTTAGTTCAAAATTTAATAAGATCCTATTGAGCGTTTGGCATAAGCTTTACTATTCTGCATTTCCAATATTGATTCAAAGATAGGATCTCGAGGATAGGATATCTTGTAGACGTCCTATACTTTGTAGATTACTCAAGACTTTGTAGATTGTGTGACAGATAACGAACTGCATCGATATGCGATTTTTGCTCGGCACTAAATTGTAACTGACAAACAATCAACTGTCAATAGCAAGGTGCTGGATATTCATCTCTTGTCTTTCAGCTCCCGTCCCAGCATTGGCAGCACCATCACCAGCACCGCCGGCCTCAGGACCAAGCCCACCACCAGCGGGCGTGAGTTCACCAGCGGAATCTGCTTATTGTTATTTTTTTTACAAATTGTCCGGTTATCGTGTCCCGTTCCCGTGACCTGTTTGTATGTCTGTTTCCGTGTCCGGTTTCCGTGTCCCGTTTCCGTGTCCCCGTTTCCGTGTCCTGTTCCCTTGTTTCGTTCCCGTATCCCGTTTCCCGGGTCCCTTTCAAGTTTTGTGCCTTATCAAGTCCACCTTACGTTCATTCTAAATAATTGTGACTTGCCATGAAACTGGGAACATCATACATAAATTAGCTTGATTAATATTTTGTCCATTTACTACACCGACAGGTTGACGGAGGCGGGTGTGCGGCTCTGGCGCAGCTGAGCCGTCGACCGCCGGAGCCAATCCGGCAGTCCGGCATTTCAGCTGCCGCACACTCGCCCGTCACAGGATCAGAGGCCTCCCGAGACAGGTTAGTCTGGTGGACGCTTCTTGTGTGATCCATATTTGTGATTCAACCTTTGTAGTTGCACTTCATGGGAGGTGAATGTTTTTTTCATCATTTACCGGTTAGCCCTTTGTATTGTCTCTATATATTTTTGATGGCGGCCCTCAATTTCAGCTTCCCGTTTCCGACCGGCTGAGACGGGTGAGCGGCGGTGACGCAGCTGAGACGCACGGTATATAGAGAACTAGGTAAAACCGGTTCGAAATTACAACACTAAGGTATTTTGACCACTATTTTCAGCTGACCTTTAAAGTCTAAAAAAGGGAACTAAGCAACAAATTTCGATAAGTTTTATGATTTGTATATATATTTTTGATTAATGATCACAGAGCACGTCATGTGTGAACCTGTGAAGCATTAACGAAAATAAATTGTTGGCTATCTCCGCCATTTCAAAAATTATATATCTTAAAACGCAAAGATTGCTCATGGACAAAATTAATTTTTCGCAATCAAAAATTAAAATTGAAGGACAAAAAGTAGTATCAAAGGCCGACACTCTTTCATTCAAATTCGAAATTATCATGGTTCTGAGCTGTTCAGCCTACCGGACCTGCCAATGCTCTACCCTGAATTGGCGAGTAATTTCAGTGATGTGGGGCTTCCATCATGGTCAATAAATATCAAAATTAAATTTTCTATCAGATTATGTCAGTTTTGTTGCTTTTTAAGCGTTGGAAACTGCATTTAGTTGATGTTGAATGCACCACCGCCATTGGTGTCCTTGGTCACCCTGTTCCACTAAATGTAATATTTCTCCAAAACTAGACTACGTCGGTGTCTAAAACATTTACCAAAATTTACAAAATTGTCAACGCTACTACCTATCAAAATCTTGAAGCGCTATGATCTTGGGAAATTTTAGAAATGTATTTACGAATCTCGAACTTATATTTTTTGGAACCGATGACTGCTGAACAAAAACATCTCTATTTGGTAAACTTGTTAGGCATATGCTATTAAAACGTCTATATCAAAATGAGAATTCAATTTTCTTTAAAATTGCGCATATTTCATTGCAGTTTCGAAGATGAAAGGTCTATTTTTTTGGTCTAGAATGAATGATCTTCCAGTCTGCTGAAGGTAACACTATGACAATTAATGGAATATTACTAAAAAACAAGACAATGTCGGTGTCTGGTTCAAGCTTAATAATTAACATAAAAGAATTCTCTATCTTTTGATATGAGTCATAAAACAAGATGAACTTGGGAAATTTACGAATTTCGGTATTGAAAACCGCAGAACACCCTCAGTTGTGCTTTGTCCACTGTACTGTAAATGCTGCTAATATACCTCTGTCGCTAGCAGACGCATGTCATTGCATTGGATTGGTTGAACGGCATTTCGTTTGCTGATGGAGAACACCTTTGTTTTAATTTGTATTTTGTCATCGGTTATGTTATTTGTTTTGTCTGTTACACTGAACTCTATAATGGGGTCTGTTATTTGATTTGATTTTGTGGTAAAGATGGAAGGCACTGTGACTATAAATAATGGAAGGTAGGTGTTGGTTTGGTACCTTGTTTTAAAACTTTTTTTCCTGAGATTTTGCCCGTGCGAGCACCAGGCTGGGTGATTTTGTGTTTTAGATCCTTTTCTGAGGGCTGTTCACGGGCCCTGTGTGCGGTCGGACCGCACACAGCCTCCAAGCTCCGCCCACTGCGTCCCTACGTCAGCTTTCCGTCACCGCACACAGCGATCGCTGTGGCCGGTCGGGACTGGCCACAGCGGACCGTCCACCGCACGCAGCCGTGACGTCAGAACCGCCTACCCATCCCCTACCCCCACGCCTGCTGGACGCACCGCACACAGCGCACGCAGCAGTGTGCGGTGCCCGTGAACACCCCTCTGAATTCTGTGGTTCAGTTGAGATTCAAATCAAAGTAGGTAAAAGGTAACTAGGCCAAGGCCAAAGGTAGTTGATGTTTTGATTGATTTGTCTTGTAGTTGTGGTAATTATCCTACCAAGTATGCTCTATCCCAACGGCCAGTTGACGAAGCATGGCAATTTCGACGAGATGTTGTCATCGTGGGGTTGTTCAGCTGGTGTGGGTTTGGTGCGTTGCGGATTTGGCTTGGTGCAGCACAGATTTAGTGTAGCGTGGTGCGAGTTTGGCCTGGGTGGTGTTTCACCGGTGATAGTGATTGCAGCACGCTGCTATTACATGTGTCAAATTAGGTTTCCATGGAGACATCAACAAGCCCCATTCACATTGCTTCAACACAACCACAAGTGTGACGTCAGCAGAATAGCAGCGTGCTGCTATCACCGGTGAAACACCACCCTGGTGACGGACTTGACGGGGTGTCAATAAAGCTGGAGTCACCTTCAGCGCCAGCCAGTAAATGTGTAGATAAAAGGAAGCTGAAATTTAAAAACAATCTAACCTCACCTAACCTAATTTATTGACTAATAACATACTAACCTATACCCTACACCCTACCAACTGATGGTGACACCAGCTTTAACATAAACCGTAGGTTGTAGTTTAGTAGGTAAGGTTAGGTCAGGTTAGATAATGTTTTTTTCTGTTAGACTAAGTAGGTATTTGATTAGATTTAAAAGCGAATTTTGTGTAAATGTCTCAAGAACTGGAGAGTCTAGCGACTTCACAAATGGGTGGCAGCATGTGAGATGCCTGCTATATGAATACCAGAAATCCTTCTCTATGCCTTAACCCCCTGTTCTGGGCTGGGCAGACAATTTCATCCCATGTGGGAAGCTCCCCTAGGAGCATACACGGAGCCAGGTGCAGTGTCAGGGGCTGGGTGCCCTGTCCACTGGATGGGCTCAGCCCCAATAACTTGTACCAGGGTGCTTGCCCATACCAATAGCTCCCCCTAATTCCTATCATTCCTCCAACTCTGTAGTCTTTTTGGGCCAAAACTTGAAAGAGCCCAGCCCAACAAAACTTTAAATTGATTTTGTAACATGTGGCATAGTACTAACTATTTTGCCAGTCTGGCAACATCCCATTACTGCCTTGACTGGCTTTCTTCTCTCTCAGGCTGATCCTGTGTCACAGAGCCACATAGATGAGCAGCTACCCATCGTAGGATGCACACTCAACCTCCTGCTAGTTTCTGAGCCAAGTCAGCTTGACAGAGGGGTCTGCTAATGCACAGCCACCTAGCCACTGCTAACAGATGCTGGCTGGGACAGACGTTCATCAAAGGTGTGCCACACGACATGGGCATTCTCGTTCTGCATCAAGCCTCAAGGTGCCTCAGCCAAACGGCAGTGAGAAATAAGGGTTGGAATAAAAGAAGAGGACTGAGCAGAAAATCCATTTACCACAATTTTATCACTGTGGACCATCGCGAATGCGTAGTGTAATAAACCTATTAACTTAGCAGACCAGCACGCTCAAGAGATCTTGGAAACTGGACCCCAGATCAGTAGATGCAGACATGCACATGCAGACGAAACACCAGCGCCATGCATGGGGCCCAATCTCACCATGGAAATGCCCAAGCACACAGCTCAAGCCATGCTGCCATCCACATGACGTGCGGACAGGTATCCATTATCAGACTAGATATGTGATATCTGATTTTTTTATAACATAGCCATTTGCAATCTTTTGTGGCGATGGAACTTTCTTAGCATAAAAGACCGCCGTTGTGTACCGTGCCTGTGGCCAGCTTAGTCGTTTCCATTGTATGCTTTGTGGTTTTTTAGTTCTGAGCATGTTATCTTTCAACAGGCTCGTTGCTGTCGGCGGTTCTGAAGACAGCGGTTCGATCCAGCTGAAGGACGTCACCTGGCAGAAAGTTGCAGAGTGTAGTGGCCAGTATCAAGCCACATTGTCCAGAAACCATCACATTATCTCCAGGTCAGTAATTGTGTGAACCGGGGGGGGGGGGGCAGCTGCGCCTTGGTCACCACTGTGTCGAGTTGTGGACGCCTGGGCCACTGTGTCGAGTTGTGATAGGAAAATCCTGCGAAATTCCTCCCACTTCTCCGTAGGTCTCTGCTGCTTTAACACAGCTGTCCAGTCCGTGTCGGTGAGCTGCCAGTTGAACTGGTCAGGATCGACCCGCTGTAAGCACCGGCGCTGAACCGTCGGGCCGGTCGCCGCACGCCACCAAACCGCAGCCCTACGCGGGAAATAATCGAGCTTGGACTTCTTGGATGAGATGTTTATGCACAGGCTAATATTATGATTTATGTACTGTAATTATGACTGAGTGTGCGACAGAAGACGTTGTGACTATGAGTCATACTCGCCGTGGCTGGTATTTGATGACCGTCGTGACCTGTGACGGTCGCTGTGACTGCTGTGTGACGATCACCGTGACTGTAATGTGACGGTCGCCGTGGCTGGTACGTGATGTTCTCAGTAACTGTTTATATAACGGCCGTCGCGACTGAAAGGTGACGACGTGACGTGACGCGACTCGCTTTGTTACAGGTCACTAGTCGCCGGTGCTCGAGCTGACGGCGTCGTTCGAGGGCTCCACGGTGACAAGCGCCGTCACCGCTGCCGCCGCCGCCGAGACCATCCGACTCCTGGGCCCTGTTTCACGGCAGCGTACTACAGCGCGCTACGCAGCGCTGCTGTGTTAGTGCGGCGATTGAGACGAATTCGGCTCGACGCTCCAGCGTTGCGAAACACCCGTGTCTATGAAGGATACGCCGATACGTCTCCCAGCTTCAAGCCCTTCCCGCCCCCCCCCCCCCCGCCCCGTCCCAACGGTGTTGGCCGAGATTGGGGTTTGGTATTTTAACGGGCTCTCCGATGACGTCCCGCAATTTGTGTTATGTAATTTGACGATTATGTCGTAGTCTCATTCTGTCTCGATATGCTAATAAATGATAAATGGGACGGAGGTTGGAAGTAAGGTGTGAGTGGCTGTAACCGGCAGGTTTTGGCGAGCGCGATATTAGTTATCGTGAGCGCGCCAGCTGCGCGCTTCTGGCGAGAAAATACTTGCTCTGGAACCTAGAAGTTTGTCGTGAAATCTATGTACCTTTGGATTGAATTATTAGAACATAATGTACTTTCGGTGTCCAGCACTGCAGCTCTGGAAACAGAAATATGGATGTTGGCTGTTTGATGTAGTAAGGGCTAACAATCCGCGTCAAGAATCAAAAGCTGTATGCAAATTTAAGTGAATATATTTCAATGAATTTTTAAATTTTGTGATACAAAACATAAATGTGTCAACTACTGATTACACCCGGCTGCAAACACTGTAACGCTTGCAATGCTGTACGGCAAATAGATAATATAGATTCTCTGGCTGCCGATTGGCGCGATCCGAGGCTGCTGACTGTTGTTGTATAGGACAACACGGCTGAATGGCTACGATCGAGAGTACGGAACGGTGCTGGTGACTGGCGGACCAGCGAAAACAGGAAAGGAGATGAATAGCTCTAGCTCCCGTCTGCGCGCGGAAGGGCGCTGATTGGCGCGGCTCGCAGACTCCATTGGCTCATCAGACTGTTGTTGGTTTTCCTCCTCCCCTCCCACAGGCGTAGCCAGGTAGCTTAGTTGTGCGCGGAAGCGAGCGGCCAGAGCGGCGCTAGGTGTCGCCCTCCCAGCGACCGGGCAGTGCAGCTGGACGTGCCGCGGATGGTCCGCCTCTGATCTCGACACACTCGGAAGAGTGCGGCCGGACACTCCATGGAGTTGCATAGCGTCGATAGGCCGTATGGTGTCGCTGTCGTAATTATAAAAGCGTAAGTAGAAGGTTGAAGCAAGATTTAGAATGTTTTTCTATACATTTAATATCGCAAAGCACAGCTTTATGCGCTGGCTACGATATGTGCGCGTCGGTTGCGGCAGTAATCATCGAAGAAATATATGGTTTATGAACGTTTCTTGATCATAAAATGATAAAACATTGCAATGTTTGCCTGTTGTGAAGAAAACTCCTATACTGCCGCTCTATCGTCCGGAATTATTCGTGTCTGATTACGGCGATTCCGCCACTCTATCAGCTGATTTTTGTTTCCGAGTCACGTGACCAACCGGTGTCTCCCTGCTGAGACGGTGAAATACAACACACCGCTCTGGTGGTCAGAGACCAATGTGACGCTCTGTTCAGTCGTTTGTGGCGCAGTTTGACGGTTCTAGTTCAAGATAAATAAGTTCCTATTGAGCGTTTGGCATAAGCTTCACTCTTCTGCATTTCCAATATTGATTGAAAGATAGGATCTCAAGGATAGGATATCTTGTAGACGTCCTATACTTTGTAGATTACTCAAAACTTTGTAGATTGTGTGACAGATAACGAATTACATGGATATGCGATTTTTGCTCGGTAATAAATTGTAACTGACCAACAATCAACTGTCAATAGCTAGGTGCTGAACATTCATCTCTGGTCTTTCAGCGCCCGTCCCAGCATTGGCAGCACCACCGTCCACCACCATCACCGCCGGCCTCAGGACCAAGCCCACCACCAGCGGGCGTGAGTTCACCAGCGGAATCTGCTTATCGTGATGAACATAATTTCCTGGGTCAATGACCTGTGTTCCGTTCCCCGTGTCCCGTCCCCGTGTATTTTTATGTATATAGTCCTTTTTGTGTTATATATGCTAACATAGACTACGGCTATGTCAATAATGCAGTTGTCAGCATAACAGTTGGTATTGGTAACAGTAATACAGTAGTCTATGATGCTAATCAAAGTAAAACTCGAAAGATGCAGATGACTTTATGCATAAACCCGGCCGGGCCCGGGGGTAATCCCAACCACCGCAGCCCGGGGGGGGGGGCGTTTTTCGCCCCCCCTGTCTAACTCCGTAAATAAGGGAGCTACGGAAACAAAAGCGATACCAAACGAAAGGTCCTTACGAGACGATTCTAATGCACCTAAAATTTTTGACCTCAGGTCAATTTTCAAGGTCAGAGGTCAAGGTAAAAGGCAAAAACCGGCACATGTGTAGTGATCTCAAAGTAAGCCTTCTAGAGGACGGCAGGCTGCATTAAACCGGCAAAATTGGGTGTCAAACGAAAGAAGAGAATCTGAGGATTCTGAAAATGTGCTCCAAATTAAAGGTCAAGGTCAAGGTCACGCTCAAAATTGACCTCAAACTTGGCACTTTTTCGCACATCTTGCGTGCTAACTTCCAAGATGTTTTGAAATGTTTTGAGGCTTATCAGTTCCCTATTTGTGGTTCATCTTACGATGCAAGGCTGCTCAAAGGTCAAGGTCACAGAAGAGTATCCCTGCTAGAGGCTATTTCACTGATTCAAGTTAGTAATAATAAATAAGACAATTTTGCCATCCGGAAGCTCTAAATGAAGGCTTAGAGGAAAATAGATGCCAGATTCGTGATCAGCGGGTACAAATCCATCATAAACGACCTTTCATGTGTCAAGGTCAACCAGAGGTCATTCGAGGTCACATGAGGTCAACATGAAACTTGACCTTTTCCGAACAAAATATATATCATTCGACGCGGCTTGACAAGGCGAATGCGATGGTACCATTGCCGTAGCTCTAGGACCATTTTTGTCGAAGTTATTTGCGAAAAACTAAAACCACATTTCGGGGTCGTTGACCTGACCTCTGACCTCAGGTCACCAAAACTATTTTTCTATTTTTCTCTAGGTCAAACGCTACACAGCCGTGCTCGTAATTTGTCTTTATCTCAAAAACTCTATTTTTAGCAGCTATTTGAAGTTTGCGTCTGGGACGCCGAAGTTTGCCGTGCAGGGGTCTAGAAAAATGGACCTTGTGACGTCATGAAGGGGGCTAGGTCCAAGTTTTTTACTTCAGAAGATGTCAAATTGATGGGAGAAAAGGTACTGAAAGTTTCGCCTTCCTACCCCTAAGCGTTCGGGAGTTATCGCAAATATTCGCCAGGGGGGGGGGGCGAAAAACGCCCCCCCCCCCGGGCCCGCGAGGGTAAATCAGCGGGAATAATCATCTGTCCATTTACTACACCGGCAGGTTGACGGAGGCGGGTGTGCGGCTCTGGCGCAGCTGAGCCGTCGACCGCCGGAGCCAATCCGGCAGTCCGGCATTTCAGCTGCCGCACACTCGCCCGTCACAGGATCAGAGGCCTCCCGAGACAGGTTAGTCTGGGGACGCTTCTTGTGTGATGCATATTTGTGATTCAACCTTTCTAGTTGCACTTCATGGGAGGTGAATGTTGTTTTCATCATTTACCGGTTAGACCTTTGTATTGTCTCTATATATTTTTGATGTCGGCCCTCAATTTCAGCTTCCCGTTTCCGACCGGCTGAGACGGGTGACCGGCGGCGGCGCGGCTGGGACGGTGAAATACAACACACCGCTCTGGTGGTCAGAGACCAATGTGACGCTCTGTTCAGTCGCTTGTGGCGCAGTTTGACGGTTTTAGTTCAAAATTAAATAAGATCCTATTGAGCGTTTGCCATAAGCTTTACTCTTCTGCATTTCCAATATTGATTGAAAGATAGGATCTCAAGGATAGGATATCTTGTAGACGTCCTGTACTTTGTACATTACTCAACACTTTGTAGATTGTGTGACAGATAACGAACTACATCGATATGCGATTTTTGGCTCGGCACTAAATTGTAACTGACAAACAATCAACTGTCAATTAGGTGCTTGACATTCATCTCTGGTCTTTCAGCTCCCGTCCCAGCATTGGCAGCACCATCACCAGCACCGCCGGCCTCAGGACCAAGCCCACCACCAGCGGGCGTGAGTTCACCAGCGGAATCTGCTTATTGTTTTTTTTTTTACAAATTGTCCGGTTGTCGTGTCCCGTTCCCGTGACCTGTTTGTATGTCTGTTTCCGTGTCCGGTTTCCGTGTCCCGTTTCCGTGTCCCCTTTTCGTGTCCAGTTCCCGTGTTTCGTTTCCGTGTCCTGTTTCCGTGTCCCGTTTCAGTTTTGTGCTGTATCAATTCCACTTTACCTTTATTCTAAATAATTTCGACTACATGAATCTAAAAACACCATTCATAAATCAGCTGGAATAACCATCTGTCCATTTACTACACTGGCAGGCTGACGGAGGCGGGTGTGCGGCTCTGGCGCAGCTGAGCCGTCGACCACCGGAGCCAATCCGGCAGTCCGGCATTTCAGCTGCCGCACACTCGCCCGTCACAGGATCAGAGGCCTCCCCAGACAGGTTAGTTTCGGGGACGTTTTTGGGAGAGGGGAATCGATGCTCTGGAATTAATTTTATAGCTATACTTGATAACAAGCAAGCTGTTGATCATACAATTTTTCAATCATATCCAGGAATTTATATATCTAATGAAAACATTTATTTTAGCTATCTCATTTCAGGTGCAGCTGAGAAGGTGACAGTCGCCACACCGCTCCTCGGGTGGTAAGAGTCCAATGTGAAATTGGAGAACGATTGAAGAATGTTGTGTAGCATTTTACTCCATTTTTAGGCAATAATATATATTTAATTGCCAGGTCCGAGCACTACAGTCCCACGCACAAGGGGGAAAAGCTCAAATTATTGAGCGCTCAAAATATTGAGCGTGTGACGTCAGAGGCTCCCATAGGCGTAATGTTGAGGGCTCAAAAAATTGAGCCGTTTCAGGAACACGTTTTGCAAAAGCAACTCGCAACACCTAGGGAGAAATGGCAACACCCTAGGACAATCACTAATGATGCAAAACAGATTAGGCTTTCATATTTTTCACTGCTCAAGCTTCAATGATTGGGGGAACACCAATTTAAAGGTCGAAATCTTACGGCATACCAGAATGACTTAAAAACAGGCCAATATTTATGTCGAAATAAAAGTTATTTTTTGTCCATTCACGTTTTTTACTAGGGTTCTGTTGGAAAGAGCATTTTTCATACTACCCAAAATGATTGCGACTCAATTTCACATTACTCATATCGGAGAATATTTTTCATTTGGCGGCGCCGTTTGTTTATTTCGTCGCGACGTCTCCGGTCGAGTGGTTGTCGTCGTCCTCGTGTTGAAGGCAAGTTTTTATCGTTTTAGTTATATTTAGATGTTAAAAGGTACACTGAAAAGTTTGAATATGCTGTGATTTTAAATTTGGAAACACGTAAACGTCAATCAATTCACGTTTTCCTCGATTTGCGTGCAGATAAGTAACTGTCGACGAAAGTGGCGCCATCCGATATGATGTTTTGAAGGAAGGAGACACAACATATTTACGTGAAAATTTTTGTTTTTTAGTGGTCTTAGTGCTTCAAAGAGGCTGTGAATGTTTTCTTCACACAATTTTTCATTAGGTATGATGAGGTAAAAGGTAGTTTCAGTCTTAACTTTCATATAATTGACATTAAAACATATGATAGTCCACTCCTATCAGTGATTGAGCACCTTGATATTTGGCATTTCTCATTAATTTGAATGTATTCTCTATCCATATGTCCTGATAGTAAGTGACAATACTCTGCCAATATGTTTCCATAGTTTTCACATTCATTTTCCAGTCCTTTACATAACATCACAATTTATAATCAACAAAACTCAACTCCTTCGTTACTTCACAACACTGACAGCATGAGAGACTGACGGTCAACTATTGTGTGTGTGAATGCTGAAACAGGATAGCCACTTTGCTGACTGGCTCATATGAAATAAGATAAAAATGATCCTTTATATCATTTCCATCTGGAGGATCGGAGTCAACGGAAAAGGAAGGCCACTTTCAAGCCTCAAGGTCTAGGCCGCCAGACGCCAGTCGACAGTCACCACCAAATGTATAATAGATTAATTCATTATTATACTTTGAGACCCTTAGGTCACTGGATCGGCATCACATTTTCAGTTTCAATATAGCAAAGGTTTTTATTTGTATGATGTGAAATATTTTCCTGAATCAGAATTTAATTATCCCTAGGTACCTGGTAGAGGTTTCGGATTTAATGCTCATTGTTGGTGTGCAGTCAGGATTTTTTGACAGGTCCAGATAAGGAATCCTGAGCAATTTTGTAGTAAAGTAGCCTCCTTATAAGTTATAATCACCACACATTTTATCAAAACTCAAAAGCATTTGCAGAATTCATTCAATGAAGAATTTTATCAATGTTGCACCCATTTCTTAGACGACCTAGGCTGCATCTTTTTTTAGTTCCTGTTGTATGACATATTTTCCATTTTGTTCCACTGCATAAAGAAAAAATCGTTTGAGATCACCGAACAGCTTTTCTTTTTCTGGCAGGTCTGCACAACCAAGCGGTCGCTGGCGAGGACGTCGGCCGTCCCTGTGGGTAAGGTCATCTGCTCAGCCTTTGTGGAGATCAGCAAGACGTCACCAAGATGAAGACTTTGCTGGAGCAGAAGCCGCTGACCCGTGTCCGATTGGGCAGGTCATGCTCGACGGCACGAGCCACAACTTGAACGACTCGGTGACATCAACAACATGGTGGAGCAGGTGAATGAGTTTGGCGACGTGTTGTGCGACTGCAAGAAGGGTTGTCTGCGTGTTCTGGCCGGCGGAGCGGCGACGCTGCGCAGTCTGTGCTGGCGGTGAGCAGCTGGCCGTGGTGACCGCGCGCGCCCACATGCGCCGACAACCTGTGCGGCTTCGACGGCCCCGGGACAGCCCGATGCCGCCCACTATGCGACGCCGACCGCGCAATGTCCGTACGGCCACATGGAGGTGTGCCCGCGCCTTTTGCCCGCACGCCGCTACCTCGCAGCTGGTCTGCAACCACGCCGTCGCCGCCTGTAGCCCAATAACAAAACGGCTGTCTGATAATGCCGCGTGTTCTTTGTGATGTTGCTACTGTGATGGTTGCTACTGCTGGTCTGAGACTCGATGTTTCCATTCGTCCCTTACATGTTAAGGATTTGATAATGATTAGCTTAGTCCGAGCTTAGGTCGTTTATATCATTTGTTATATGCAGAGCTGGGCAATTGCGTTCCTTTAGTGCGTTCCTGCGTTCTTCCGTACGTACGCACCGCCCTTTTTAGGAACGCAAGAACGCAGGAACGCAAAGTTTTTCAAAGGAACGCAAGTAAGAGGAACGCACCACCCGAAATTTTGAAGCGTTCCTGCGTTCTTGCGGAACCACCCGAAAAATTATATTGCTGCCAATGACCTCTGTGTCAAATGTTTGAATCTCGAGTACGTGTGTTTGCCGGTAGAGGCGCCACTTGTCGGTCGAATCGAGGAAGGCTTGCTTAGATTTAGTGATGATGTTTACTATTCGATTCGGTTTCAGGCATTAAATGTGTAAAGATTTTTAGTGGTGATGTTTACTATTCGATTCAGTTTCAGGCATTAAATGTGTAAAGTAAATATGATAACTTTTACTAAGATACATCTTTTAAAGGGACCCTCCCACCTTCAAAAAAGTTAATGAATTGGCATGAAAGTGATGTCGCTCGGTTCAGAAAGAGCAAAAATGAATATCTACCAAATTTCATCGAAAAATATTCACCGGTTTTCAAGATATTAGACTTTTACTTTTGTTTACTTTTTGGGATCTCCGCTGTTCCTAGCGACTTTATTTGAAAGTGCGGCATTTGTTGCGCGCAAAGCAGCATATACCACCGCGTGCTGCCAAACGTTTTAGTAAAAGATTTAAAAATCGTTAGATCTCCGCTGACGTCACAAATTCTAAGGGGGCATACCAATGCATTAGCCCCTTAGAATCCGAAAACTGCAAGTTTGAAATTCCATATCTCCGAATTAAAGCATTTTTCGATATTGTGAATGCCCAAACCGGTATTTTCAGGCCATGGCCACCAATTTGGCTATCTCAACTCAAAACTAATGTTAAGGTGGGAGGGTCCCTTTAACTTAACTATTGTTTTTAAGCAGGTCGTATTTTTGTTGAAAACCCTACGGATGATATTGGTAAAACGTATTTCAGATATTCGATTCGGAAACACTGGCGGTCGCAGCCGCTAGTAAAAGGGGGGGCCAATGTCACACTCGCGGGACATAACATTTATCCGTCACCGGGAGGGGGGGGGGGGTGATCGGCTAATTTTTACGTCCACGAGGTGCCGCGCAGTTGGCATTACTTATGCTTCATCCATCTGATTCTTGCGTGAAATCTTTAAGCTCAATTTAGGGCAAAATCACCAGTTCCATTTCCCGTCCCACGGTGCTTCCACCGGTCGGCCCACTGCACCATGACGACGGATCGGTGTAGCATAGGTATACTGGAAGGTCAGGCACGCGGATTCATGACCTTACCACTATAAAACAATTCGGAAAAGTACAGATACCTCTTGCTTTGAACAAGCATGTGAAACCCAGAGAGCATTTTCAGACTATGACATTTACCCATATAGGTAACATACCTAGTTGTGTGGCGGCGGGAGAGAGTAGGTACACCGACCTCTGGAGACCCCCCACAGGTTCCGAGCTTTCAAAATTGGCATCTGAGGGCCGCGCGCGACTCCTACGGGGCTTCGAAACGGCTCTATTGGGGCTCACTCAACTTGCCTAGTCTTACTGCTAAAAAGACTGGCCCTGAGCCCTAAGGACTTCATCAGTCTCTGCCAGCCCCAGGACCCACACCGGCTCATGGGGTCCCGACGTCGAAATATGAGGGAATCTGCGCGGGACCATCAGGACGTAAAGTAATCTCGATCAGGACCAACGTAAGGCTGTGCCGGAGACTGCGTGAGCCCTCTGATCTTCAGAAACCCACCCATGTATGTTTTCACGTAGAGGCCAGTTTAGGGCCCTCAGAGACCAGTACAGGGCCTGCAAACTACAAAGGCCAGTAGTTTGAGACAATCAGTGACCGAGTTGGGCTCTCAGAGGCTAATGTGGGTCATTACAGGCCAACATGGGCCCTCAGAGGTCAGCGTGGGGCCCTAAAAGACCGGCATGAGCCGTCGTTGGACCCCAGAGGCCAGCAGAGGGCCCTCAAAGGCCAAGATGGGCCCTCCTCACAGGCCAATGCAGGCCCTTAGAGGCCGGCATCGGGTCTTCAGCAGCCAGTGCGCCGTGCGGGGCCCTCATTGGCACCTAAAGGTTCGTCTTGGGACACCACAGACAGAAATAAAGCCACCAGAGACCGGTGTGAGACCCTCAGACGCCGGTTGGGACTCCTGAGGCCGGTTAGGGGCCCTCATAGGCCAGATGTGGGGTCTCAGAGGTTGATGTAGGCTCTTAGCGGTCAACGTGGGCGCTTGACCGCCACTGAACTTCCCTCAGAGGTCAGTGTAGGACGTTCAAAGACCGGTGTGGGAGCTATATTAATAGCTGGGCGTGGGTTTTTGAGCCTCGTGACGATCGAATAATTGCCAGGGCCCCATACACCTATATGGGGGCCCATTGGTTGTTTGAGGGGGGGGGGGCAAATGATATGATGGCCCCCTTTATTGACCTTTGGGGGGCATGGCCCTGATGCCCCCCCCCCCCCGCGACCGCCACTGTGTACACATTACACACATGCCTCTGAGATTACATACTAGCTCATGCAAACTCTATGCAGGCCCCGGAGTTCCCACGCTAATCCTTAAGAAACCAAGCCGGCATACGGCGTCACCACCGGGCTTCTGAGGTGCACAGCACCAACCCATGAGGTCTTACTTTAGTGTCTTAGAGCCAATCTCCTTTAGCAGGGCCCACCCACCACTGCCGAAGAGGGTCTCATGCCAGCCATTGCTGGGCCTACGAGAGCCTCAAGTAAACCCACGCTGATATTCCATATAAGATCCGGCCATACTCGTGAACCGGTGCCAGCGACGCTGACCGCCAAATTGACAGAATACGAAACTGAGCCCACTCATGAGTGAAATTTACGTCCTTTGATGGCGCAAGAAAGAAAATGAAACATGCGAAAAGCTTTTCTAGTACTTTTGTTCGATCTGAAAGGTGGGGCCAAAAGATAGTATGGCCCCACCTTTCAGCACCAAAGGGGGGGCCATGGCCCCCGTGGCCCCCCCCTGGGACCGCCAGTGTTCGGAAAAGAGATGTCGAGCTGCTTTTCGGCCCCACGTCGCCATTCTGGGTAGGGGAGACTGGGGCGATGCGTTACACTTCTTGGTCTTCTGCACTTAGTGGCCAAGCTATTCAATGACATTGCACCAAATTTGGTCACATGCTAGCTGAATCAATTTGGAAAGCACATGCAAACTTTCACTTCTTTACGACTATTCACTTTTATGTGAAATTCAGAAAACCAAAGCAAGATTTTTGGGGTAAGTTGAAAAATTGTGGGGCAACTTGATACACGGTATGGGGTAACATGTTACACTTCTTTTTTCGTAGTTTCTTCATCACTATAACAGTCATTGCCCGTCCTATCGGAACCGATCGTAAGCCTCCCTAATGGATAATACTAAACATGCTTTCCTTTCTCATTGAAAGGCAAGAACAATAAAGCATAAACCATTACTGTACTCCACACGCATGAAAAGGCTCATCAAACATGGCTCAAGCTCTGATTTGCCTTTACTGCGACGCCATGGGCACCATGCATTGCCATACTGACCGGAGTTTCATTTTCTGCACAAAATTTACGCCCAGGTAAAACGGAGCACGCTATAAGCAGTCTTGGGTAGCCATCTTTAAACATGCCCCGGCCCTGCGGCGGCCGAATTTCTCAAGACTGAACTCAAATGTTTGTTTACATGAAGAGGCTAGCGCGTTTTACTTGGTGATCTTACAAAAGAAATCATCGCTTAATTTTGTGAACATACATTCAGCATTCTTACACAAATAACCTTGACAAAAAACGACCCAAAGTGTTGGCCAGCAAAAAATACTTTTGCTGTCACAACTTACCCCAGTGCGCCTACAGGGCGACATGGCGTTCCACCAGGTCTGAGCCTGCAGTGACATGTAAAATGTGCGTAACCTTTCTGCTACCGTAAATATTGGCGCCATATCAAGAGTATTTTTAAAGATATTTCCTATGTAACAACTTACCCCTGTAACAGCTAGCCCCACTCTCCCCTATTCTGTGATCGATTCGCCCCGTGTTTGGTTGGGCCCGCGCCGCGTGGTTCAGCGGTATTTTTGAGGGAGGAACGCAGGAACGCAGGAACGCCAACGCACCGAGCGAAAAAAAAAAAATTGAGGAACGCTATTCCAGGAACGCACTAACCGCGGCCGGAGGAACGCAGGAACGCTAACGCACTACCGAAAATCGAGGAACGCGCCCAGCTCTGGTTATATGGCATATTTTGGATCAAAGCAGTACGACACTGCCTCCTGCTTTTGTGATGTATGCTGGCAAGACGCAGGTTCCGGTCGCAGGTCACCCGGTTCCAATGTGGTCGGGCTGGCATGCGATA